CTATGGGTTTGTACAGGTTTGTGCGGGTTTGTACGGGTTTTACTTTGGTTTTATGTACGATTACTTCTTACCTTTGCAGTATAATAGCACACATATGAATTTTCTATCATGGGTGGTAAAAATGGTCAACAAACTGTTGCGTACAAATGTGAGCGCTTTTGACGCTTTATGCAAATTAAATGAGTAACAAACTGTAATCTAAATTAATTGTTACTTAATTTATTCTTGGTTCAATTAACTCTTATGCAAATTTGCAATATACGATTTCGCATTTGCTCCGTTTTTCTATTACCAATTTTAGTAGTTGGCATATGATTTTATACGTCGATATTTCAAGCATTTAAATTTTAGTTTTGGATTTGGTTATTTTTTTGCATGAGTTTAACTGGTCTAGAGAAGCCGAAATTGAATGAAATTTTGAAATTCCTGCTATTTTTTTGTGCTTAGTCTTTTACAATGGTAGAAAATAACTAAATTTCCTACCATTATGAAAGGTTAGCCAGATTACTTAATAAAGGTCATTCAATGGGAAAAAAAAACTTAGTTTTCAATGGTAAATTTCACAAAAGTTGAAACTAGAAGATTGTAATTGAAATTAACTTTCAAATAAATTAGCTAAAAGAGGCTAATATATTTTGTTGAACAATTTATCATATAATCAGAGCATTTTGAATGTGATTATAATTGTTAATAACCATTACAAATATGTATTCTACAATTAATTTATGACAAAGAAAAAAATGCGAATAAATGTTGAAAGTAATGAAAAAAAAAAACAGAACAAGACAAATAAATTTTATACTTTATTTTGATTTTAGAAAGAAATTCTAATCGTTAAAGTATTTTTGAATTTTGTAAGCAAATCAAAGAGAGTAAAAGCAAAATGAAAATGTCTTTATGGTATTTATTTCAATTGTACGATAAGAGTTTAATTTGAAATTAAAAAGGATTTATTTCAATTGTACGATAAGAGTTTAATTTGAAATTAAAAAGGAATTAAAATAATTTGAGCTAACTTAACTATTACACAATTCTAGTGGCGGTAAGGATAAATAAACCATCTGGCAAAATTAATTATAATTTGAAGCAACTAAAACCATCTCGCAAACATTAGAAGAAAATTTATTTTGAAAGAATCACTCGCGTCCTTTATGATAATATCCTTTCTGATTTTCTTCATAGTAATTTGTCATTCGCTACTCCAAAAAAAAAAATTTTACGATTTGCTTAATGACCGATTAGACTATTTATTGTTTAAAGGGGTAAGTTCTCTTCTTTGCATATATTTTTACAAGTATTGAAGTTTACATGTAAACAATTATATTGTGTGTATGTGTGTGTGTGTATGTGTATGTGTGTATATGTATGTATGTGTGTGTGTGTGTGTGTATGTTTGTATACGAACTTGTCGAAAAATGAGGAAAAAGAACTAAACAAAGAGCATTACATCATATTACAATTTATTTCATTTTTACCGCATTACACAATTTACTTTTGAAGTGGCAAATTGGTGCAACAAAAGAATTCTTTCGTTACGAAACTTTGATTACAATGATTCACGTTTGTTTACTTTCACTTCTATCTTGCCTTTTTCATAAATATCACTCTGATTGAGGGATTTTTTTAGACTAATATTTATTTTAGTTTTATTTAGAAACATTAATAAGAAAAATTTCTACAGGTTCTATAATGTTAGCAAATTTTTAGCTAATTAATCATCAACAAGGATTTAAATAGTAAGGTTCAAAAATTCTCATTCACTCCTTTTCAATTTGATAGAAGGTATTTAACAGCTATAAAAGGGATGAGAAATAACCTGCGCAATATTGGGCATAACTGGAGCAGAAATAATATTTGATTACGAAAGTTGACAAATCATAATTTGTTAATTCTTATAGTAGTTCCGCTAAATTGACTAATTGTTAAATGTAATTAGCAATAACATCAAATTGTATAGTTTTTTACATTGATTTAAGCTATTTCAGTTCCAATTCATATTTTCTTTCAACAAACTAAGCTTATTATTAGCTGTTATTAGCTGCTATTACGATTGTCAAATTAACAAGAAGATGTGATATTTTAAAATGATTTTCATCTCCAGCAATTCTTGGTATAGTTTTAAATTAGATAGAGCTGCTAGTAGTTTTGTACGATCAACAATAAATACCGTGATTGAAGAGAAAGGAAAGAAATAAGCAAAAAGAGGAACGATATATACGAGGGGTTAATGAGAATAGCAGTTGACAGTTGATCTTTATTTCAATGAGAATAGCAGTGATTATTTTTTCATTTTATCCTTAAATAGCAACATAAGTAGTAAAGTATTAAATATGCTATGCGTAGCAGCATGCTTTCATTGTAATTACTGCTAATTGAAGAAATGCTGTCAAATTAAGCTTTAACAAGATGACTAATGGTATTGTCTTAAGAGTAATCTTTGTTATCATCAATTATCTAAGTCAAAATTTACCAATTAGCTATATTAACAACCGTAAAACTAAACAAAAACATGTTTTCATTGCCAATAAGTTGAAATACCAAATTGATTTCAAATATATTCACTTTTTCTATACAATAAAAAGTAATTAATTTTATTTACATTTAAGCCTCTTTGGCGATAATGATTACCACTGATATTACCAAGAATAACTTTTAAGACAATCTTGGCCAATTAATTAAGAACCTAATTATTATGGCTAGGCTTGAGAACAAAGATTTGGAAAGAGTTGTACCCATACTTGCTGCAAACGCGACAAATATGAGTGTAACCATTTAACTAGCACAATGGATTTTTTAGATGAGATACGGCATGTATGAAATTGATCCCACCCGTTCTCCTAAGGTTTATCTGCTTGGGCTTAGTGAGCTAGGACGGTGACAGCGAATTCCTCAGGACACAGGTTTTGCTAGATTATCTTTTAAATGGGTGATGGATAGTCTTCTTAAATAGACACTTTACAGGGCTAAACGAACTCCATCTGCCAGGATTTGGAATTAGAGTTGTCTCTCTTTTTTAGGATAGTTGTCAGGAGGATAGTAAGTCCATCCTGCCCGTAGACATACACTTTTTCTTAACGTGTCTAGTATGCGAGGCCCTGTCGGTAACAATTACCACCGTCAATTACCACAGTTCGCGACCTTATAAAGGCATAAGCTTCTCCCCCCACGACAAGGAGATGTCCTTGGAGGAAAGACTAGATACAAACAGATAACGGCAATGTGTCAGTTGACAAATGGCATTATCCTATGGCTTTGTTTTGCAAATGGAGGCACTGTTAGCAATTGATACCGGAAGGAATGTTTCAAAGTGAATATTGGTACTTGGCTGTTTATCAACATGAATAAATTTTCACTTATCACTCAATCATTTGCTTATCACTGTGATCAGAAATCAATACCGCACTGTCCTGTTACATTCATCGTTTGATATCGTTGATAAAGAACAGTTGAGGGAGCGAAACGATGCAAGAATGAAAAGACGATATAAAGTAAACCAATTCCGAGAAGATCACCAATAGATGTCAATACCGGCACCGAACTGTTGTCTGGATCCATTCGGAACCGCCATAATCCATAAACTGTCACTTGGCATAAATAAAATAATAGTAAGCCCTAAAAATTGCAAAAAATAAGTTTTGTTCAACAAGATTTAATTTAGGTTGAAATTGAATCCAAGTCAAATATCAATATTTCTAAAAAGATCTTTGTATTTTCAACAGTTTTACAAATTATCGACTAATTGATTGACTGAAAAGTAAGTATGGTTAAAAATTCATGAGAATTTGTTACTTGTACAAAGGCGGTCATAATATAGGTCCCAACAAAAATCCAACTGAAGTCAACATTTTTGGCTGTAAAAATGACCACAATAACGAACAAGAAATTGTATGGGATTGCTGTTACTAATAGCAAAAATGCTACTTTAGAGTCCAAATCTGAAAATGAAAGAAGTGATTCATTGATTATTGCAAAAAGTAACCATGCCAAATTTATTTATTTATCTAGTCATTTATTTATTTAGTTATTTATTTATTCATTTATTTATTTATTTATTTATTTATTTATTTATTTACTTATTTATTTATTTATTTAATTTATTATTATTATTATTATTATTATTATTATTATTATTATTATTATTATTATTATTATTATTATTATTATTATTATTATTATTA